GGCAGAGGCAGCAGGTCTAAACCCTCCTTGCCGATCATGAGTGGCAATTATACTGCAATTCACCTCAGTGAGCGGGGGCTAGATGGTGACTGGCAGTAGCCAAAGACTGAGGCGAGGTGGGGATAAGGGGTTGGTGGTTCCCTGTGGAGGGGAGACCCAGCAAGACTGCGGGGTACTGTACGGGGCGGAACCCTGAGGTAAGGGGCACCAGGGCCAGCGGCAAGCAGGACACTGGCCTGCAGAGGGCGCTCCTGAGTGGAAAGAGCTAATTCCCTGGATGACCATCAGGAGGCGCTGTCGGGTGAGTCATCGCACCGTTACAGTACTCTTGATAGTTAAGATACTGTAATGGTAATATGCTGGTTGCTTTCTGTCCCATATGTCTTCAGTGTACAAAGATCTTTTAGATTATAGCTTTTTTTTCAGGACGAACTACTCTCTATGAAAAGTAATTCTTATGAGATCAGCTAATATAAAAGGAGTTTTACTATCAGATACCAGTACTTTATCTACAAAGTTAGGGCTGATTTGAGGCTCCCTTCCCTAGCACTTGGATAGATGGACCCAAGCACTGTTCTGGTCATCGAGACCTCTACATACTAGCGACTCTAGAAATTCCAATCAGGATGGGAAGAGCTAGAAGGATGGAGTTGGCTGTAATACAAACTTCACCCAGTATGATTTTAAAACAGAAGTTTGGTAAATGGCCAATTATAGGCATCTATGAGTTATATAAGGAATGGAGTCACTTCCAGTGCTACAAAATTGACCACTATCAAGTTCATTTTTTTATTATAAACTATAAGAACCACCCATGGATCCAGTTGTTCATTTGTAGTTCAGTATTGGGCTAGAACTGGAGCTGGAATATGCACAGTTGTGAAACCTATTAACAAACATTGAAAAATGCAAAGTTGAGCAGCCATTTTAGTCCTCAGCTGATGTGTATCCCTGCCACATAATGAAACTTGTTAATTGAGTCCATATGGGAATCATTCAGGAGGTTTATTTCCCTTGTATGTGAAATTCTGATGACAAGAGATGATTTATAATTGTGAAAATGGAGTGGTTCATGATTTGCGAGAAAGTCCTAAGTCTTGGTTTATTCAAAGGCTTGCTGCTGTATAAATATGACACCATTTTAAGAGGCTGTAGGGCTGTTCCCTTTGGAAAAGGGATTGATTTAAATGGGAGTACTTGTGAAGTAAGATAATATTCAGCATGAATAAAGATGGCAGAATCTGGCCCATAGTGCCTTTCATCCAGAAGAGTTCCAACTCAGTCTACAGACAAAATATATAGGGGCGAATCTTACCTTTGCCTCCTTTGCCATCGAAAGCCCTGGAGGAGAGAGAAACTGGTGTTGTTTCATTGCATCAACTGGTGGGATGTTTTGGAGACCCTAATTAAGATGCATGGATTCCTAGTTTAATTACAAACTTCATTTATGTTACAGTGCAGTGTGAGGCAAACATTCTATTGGCATAATAATTAACGTGGGACAATTTACACACATTCGTAAGTGATAATTTAAATATTTTTCGAAGTGAAGCCCTACCACGTATAGTAGGGACAGATACATTTGAAGCTCTCCAGTCCAGTTCTGACCTATAACACTTGTCATTCCAGTTCACTCCCTCTCTTGGTAGTTATATTGTGCTTTGCTGATCAAACTGCCACTTTTTCTCTTCTCACAAATTTTGCTAATGTACAGGTCTGATACTTTAACAGAGTAATAATCTAGGGATCCAATCAATCCGAAGGATATAAATACATAGCTTCCTTTTAAATCAATGGGAATTGTCCATTCCTTTCCCAGATGATCTGGCCCAAGATCTAAGCGTAGGCTTCTAGAGGAGAATGATTAGTGAATTAATCCAATTCACAATCTAGTTGAACCAGAATAATGGGATTTTGTCTCTAAGAAACAGTCTATAAATTAATCTAAAATTGTAAATTTGGATCTAGATCCAGATTTCAACCCACACTCCTGAAGTTCATGCATATTTGAATCTGGGGCTTTGGTTCAGACCATTGTGCTGCTTCAGCTGCAGAAGATAGACCCAATTTAGATTCCAGACACCCATGGGTGTTTAGATCTGGTTCAGGACCATGTCTGCTTATGAAATCAATTCTGTTTTTTAAATTATTTTAGTTTTGGGAGATTACTCAAATGAATGGCTTATTTCCAGACATGACCCCTGTCGTGTAACTGATGTGGTTGCTGCTGAGAGGTAAAAGAACATGCACACTAAAGTGAAGGAATGTTTGGCAGTGGCCTGGTGCTGAAAGGCAAGAGCGTGAAGGATGCCCAGCTCTCTTGCCTTTTCCTCTCAACAGAAAGTGCTGAAGAGACAATGTAACAGGATATGTCCTCTTACCAGACCTACTGCATCCCCAATCTGGAGCATACAATATGAATGTATATCTCTCTCTACTAAATTGGGTTCTCATCCTTCTGTATACCATGCCTCCACAGTTAGCCACTCACTAGTGGCCCATCTCTGATGCACACCAGATTGCTATTTATTTGTTCCCATAGTGCTGCAAATAAGGTGCCTCAGGAACTGGCAATATAGTGTACAGTGCCTCTCCTAGGATAAAATTCTATTCCAAATGATAAGAGGAAAAGTTTACTTTACTTCGAAGTTGAAGATGTAGAAATCAGGAAACAGGATCTAGTGGAGCACTAATTCTGGTTAAACATTCTTGCTCCCCCCACCAATGATCCCTGCATTACAAGCATCCTCTGCCATTTCTGGCCTCCTGGATAATTTTATTTCTCCCAATTAACAATAATAGTATTACTTAACTCTTTTTTATATAGTATTTTTCAGTTATAGGTTTCAAAACAGCAATAGTGTGGAAGAGGGGAAGAAGATTTTTAATGCTGAAAATGTTGGGCAGGTGGGAAGGCTGACTCTCTCTCCAGTGTCTCCTGGATCACCTGCTCTCAACTCCCAAGCACTTCACAACATGCCACTCATGTAAAGTGGAAGAACTAGAATAGAATCATTTATACGTGATCCACATAGTAGTTCTGAGAATGCAATAGTAGGACAAAAATCAGCAGACATCTGGAAGAGGTCAGAACCTCAGGCAGATATAGTTAAAGTCAGGAGTTTCCTCCTAAAGTCAAGAGGCTTTGCTTGTGAAAAGTGGCTTATGGGGTATTCTAAGTTTCTGAAGAAGAGCTGTTTGTAAGTGATTTAGCAAATTCACTTCAGCAGGAGGCAGGAAATAAAAACACCTTTATGACGCCTTGGGAGTCTCAAAAGAAACAGTTGGGAGGCCCATGAAAGGTGGCAGTGATATAAATTGTGGGAAAGGTAGTTATGGAGCCCAATAACTTTTCACACTCCATTGCACACTGCACAAGGCCTTGCAGAATCAAAGACTCTGAGCCAGATTCTTATTCACACTAAGGCCCCTTTGCACTAGCCTCTCCGTGTAAAGGGACTTTAAACTGGGTGTCAATTACAGAATGTTGTAAAGGGGCCTTTCTATAAAAGAGACTCTGGCCAGGTTTGTTTTACACCAAAGGAAAAAAGAAACATTAATACAGGACCAGATCCTCAACTCGTGTACAACCTACACCAGCTGAGGATCTGGTCCATTAAGTCTAGAAAAGCCATATTACCAAAATTTGCACAGATTTTGAAGTGTGTAAAATGTAGTTGTGTCAAGAATCAGCCTATAATGTACTGAAATAATTTATTTCTTAGAGCACAAGGCTCCATGCCAAGATTTACCTGCAACTGACACACATGAAAAGTTTTACAGAACAAAGGAATCAAAATGAATAAACAGAATTTGTGTGTGTCAGACTCTCATAGAGTCTAATATCTTGATTGTCACATAGAAATCCAAGAACTGCCTCAGCCCTTGCTCAAGATTCCACATGCAGAAGGAGAGTAGAATATGGCTCTTGTTAGCTAACACATTTTGCTTGTTACATTCACACACAAATCCAGCTGGAATTTTGTGCATCTCTTTCAAACTTCACAAAAGCAATGGCTACAAAACATAATTTCTGTTTTTGAACCAAAGACGACAATTTATAAAGATTTTATTACCTGATGTTACGAAAAGGACATTCCAAATAGCCAAGCAAGAAGCAGATCATGAAACATATATACGCTAAGGAATGAGAAGTGCTAAAGGGTGTGAATGAACCAGGCCAAGTATGTGAAAAGTGGCTTATGGGGTATTCAGTGCACAGAAAGATTAATTGGAATAAATGACTAAATATGATCTGATCTATGTTTAAAGACTTCAACAGATGTTCGGGATTCTTTGGGCTTGCTCCTCATCTGTGCTGCAGCTCCACTATGTGCAGCAGAGGAGAACAATAGGCAAAGATAGCTTTAAGCAAGTGTTGTGATCTAATCATCACAGTTGCCATGCCTGGTTCAGCCCCTGGCATAGCTTGGAACAGCCTCAGGGCTGTTCTAAATTTCACAAAATTTGAACAGTCCCTGAAGGGCCATTCTGCAGCTGGGATCACCGGACTTCAGTAATACTCCAGCCACATCCTTTTCCCCAACCATGCCCAAGACGTGCTACCTACACCAGCTTGGGTGGGGACAAGCATGTGGTGGTTGGCATTTGCCTGAGCCAGAGAATTTTTCATTTAACTGATTAAGCCAGCTTTGTGCTATGAGAGTGATGCATAGCAGCTTTATTGGTCTGAGTGGCTTGCCCTTTATGTTTTAGAAACATAATTTGGAACAATAAATTTGAAGTCCACCTGTTCAAATATCTAATGATCTTGGAATTATGTCTCTGCTACAAGTTCAACTTCAAGCTTAAAATAGTACCATATAAAATAGTTTTGTTCAAAACCAATATCCAAACATATATATAATATACACACACACATACATACACATAGGGTCACCTATTGCCTTGTCCAGGTGGGTGAGGCGGAGAACAAATGCTGGATATAGCCCATAATATTTTAACATTGTTGTCAATGTTTTCTTTCTCCCTTTTATTAGATAACCTCTTTCTCTCCAACCCCAGAGCCTGCTGCAAAGGGACATCCAAGGACCCCCACGGAGCATGGCCCCAAGCATTGCAAGGCCAAAAATCCTGTCCCTTTCTCCCTGCACTCAGTGCTGCATTGGATCCACTGCATCTGGGGCCCTCTGTGGCTAAAGGGGCAGGATTTGTCCACAAAAATAGGTAAAAATATTAAGTACATCCTCCTGGCATTACGTCTGTTCATTTTACAGATTATTTGATGTATACTCTGTATCTATCAGATGCTAATGGTTATGGTTACAACCAACCTGGGTTGGTTTTGAACCAGCAGCAGCTGAGAGGTGACAGGTTGCTTATCTCAGTCCTATAGTTGTAGTATTTTTTTTATAAGAATAATAATTTAAAACTATACAAAGCTGTCATTTTGTCCTGCCCTTCCTTCTCTTCCCTTCCCTCCTCTCCTCTCCCCTCCCTCCCCCCCCCCCCGGTGTATTAACAATGAACCATTCATTCTAATGTGATGAGAGTCATTCCACTGCATAAGGCAACCTCTATTCACAATTAGAGAGTTAGGAATATTCAGCCCGTCATCACAGTTAAATAAACAGATTGTCTGAACATCCCTCAGGGCTTTGTTATAAATCTCTCTTTCTTTGCTTCACAGAAGTAGTATTACCTAGTTTTTAATATACAGTATCTACAGACAACACCCCTACTGGAATTGTTTTGGTGAAAAGTGAATTCAGGTGTGTATACAGAGGCATTGCAAAATTCTTCTCTTTTCTTTAAAAGGCAAATCTCCATTAGCAGTGTAGAGATATGACACATCATTTAACAGTTCTGATTCTATCCACTTGAGGTAAGTGATGTACATAATCAGTTTGTTGTAATATTTACATTATGGGTGTAAGTGAATAAATCCTGGCTGGACCACATGATAAATGGAATAATAATATAGAAGTTTGTTTGAACAAACAGGATTACAATATCAAGAAAAAAGATATCAGGCCTGCTCCTGGTCCACTAAGACCAATAGGAACAGTAGAAGGTCCATTACTGTATTTCTGTAGTTATTTTATGAAAAATGGGAACTGAACTAATGGAGGAAGTATAGAATAAATGCTCAGTGGAGTTAATATTTCACTTCAAAGGTCGTTTAAATATGGAACCATAATCTTAAATGTGTGGAGGAGGTTCGATTGCAAGCTATTCATTATTTATTTTATAGAGTGTAGCTTACTTTGGAATTTAATGTTAGTTATAGTAATGATAACAGTATGTGTTGGTGTTCTAAGATCTTATAGCATTCATTTCTCCTTGTATCTTTCTATAGAAACATTAATTCACTTGGCAACATGTTTGTGATGCTACTTCTGAAACACTGAAAAAGGATATTTTTACAACTGCTGCTTTGTGTATTTTGGGTTTTATGGATGATTTATCATTTGCTAAATTTGAAATCCAAATTGTGGATTTGGCTATAGCTGTTGCCAAAAAGCAAATACTGCAGTGTTGGGAAGAAGTGAAGAGGCTATCATCATCTCCTTTATTCAGGCACTATTGTTATTTTAAGTTATTTCTAAATTTATAGTCCACAAACACTAACCAATGTCAGTAAAAGAGCTCTGTCTCTTTCACCAACAGAAGTTGGCCCAATAAAAGATATTACCTCACCCACCTTGTCCCTTTAGTAAAAGTATTTTCACCCACCCGTGGTGATGGGAGGAGAGGAAAGAGAAGGATGTTCAAAAGGCTGATCTTGTTACCACTGAAATCAGGGTAGAGCCTTTCCCTGGGTCAGCCAGTACATTTTGGTCTGGATTCTTTGGTCCACTAAGGACACTTTGCACAGTGCAAAGTAGCTTTAAACTAACTGGAGATTTGGGGAGACTTCTCCAATGGCTTACAGCTGGTAGAAGCAAAGTGGCCATTTCCTGTCCTGATATCCTCTGATGTAAAGGAAAAGAGGGGGCATGGCAGACCTGAACCTCTGCTATACTTAATCCTCTCTTGCTGTAAGGGACCTTATGTGAGCAATGCCAGTAGCATAAGTTATAACTGGACCCCTTATCCAGGGTGGCCTTATCTCAGGGAGCCACAATCATTCTGCCTGCAGTCATCCCTCTCCATTATATTTGACAGCATAGTGGAGGACCTTTGTATCTGTTTGAGGCCCACTTCTGTGAGGTGCTGAGCACCCTCAACTCCCAAGAATTTCACTGGTGTACAATGCCTGCAAAACTACACCCTTAGGCCTTGGCTACACTCGCGGATTCACAGCGCTGCCGTGGCAGCGCTGTGAAGCGCAAGTGTAGTCGTGCTGCCAGCGCTGTGAGAGAGCTCTCGCAGCGCTGCAAGTACTCCACCTCTCCGAGGGGAATAGCTTGCAGCACTGCAAGCGAGCATGCAGCGCTGCAGGCGCTGATTACACTGGCGCTTTACAGCACTGCACTCGCTGCGCTCGGGGGTGTTTTTTCACACCCCTGAGCGCAGCAAGTGCAGCGCTGTGAATTGCCAGTGTAGCCAAGGCCTTAGATTGAAAATCTTTACG